AAATGTCGGGATCATTGTAATGCCTACTAAAGTACTCCAGCCTCCGTAGTGTTTGCTAGATTAATACCTCGGGTTTGTAACACGGTGCGCAGTGTTACGTAGTGTGTGAATTGGTAAGATGCAAATGAAGATTGGTGGGTGCCTGGTGGAAAGTGTGATTGGGTACAGAGGGGACGGGTGTGGGGCTATACTCTGTGAGTGTCTAATTTGCATCCATATCTTAAGAGTTGATATGATAGTGGGATGTTGGGCATGTATTGGTTTGAGAGAAATGTTCCCATTTGTTTGCCATGGAATGGTACATAGCGGATGTAAGAAGGCTGCTTTCTTCAAAATGACCCATTGTTTGCAATTGGTAGGGAGTGACCATTCATATATTCTGGAGAGCATAACCGCTCTATAGTACAATTCAATGTCTGGCAGGCTCAGACACCCTTGGTGTTTATGTGTTGTGAGTATTTTAAATGGTAGTCTGGGATGGTTGTGTGACCAAATAAAACTGGTGAACAGTTTTTTATTTCTACAAAAAATGTGTTTAGTAAGGCTATAGGAATGGTCTGTAGTAAGTACAAGATTTTGGGAAGTACGCTCATCTTTATAATGTTTATTCGGCATAACCAGCCACTGTGGGGTTTATGCCACTTTGTTAGGTCCTGTGAAATTGTGTGAAGGAGAGGTCAAAAATTTAGGTCATAGAGTTGGGAAGGGCGTGTAGGTGGGTTCGTCCCCAAGTGACGGCTATGGGCGACCATAGAAAAGGAAAGGAGTTCTGTAGGGTTTCCTTGTTTAAGTCCGTGATTATCAGTGGAAGTATTTCACTTTTGTAAAATTGACTTTAAAGTTAGAAAATTTGTGGTAGAGGGAGATTTTGTTCCAGAATCTGCGGCATGGAGATGGTTGGTTTTGTAAGTGTAAATAAAAGGTCATCAGAAAAAGCTGCCACCTTGTATTCATTATCCTGCACTGTGATGCCATGGATAATCGGGTTGTCTCTCATGCCTTGGAGGAAAGGCTCCATAATCAGAACAAATGACAGTGGTGAGAGAGAGCACACCTGTCTCGTGCCATTGGAGATAGGGAGGGATTCGAGTTGGCCATTAATCCTAATGCGCACTTGTAGCCTAGAATAAATGGAGTATAGCCAGTGAGACCAATTTGGGCCAAAGACCATTGCCTTGTGGCTTGTGAATATCAGGGACCAGTCCAACGCTTTTGATAATAGTAGGCTCTGAGTTTGTAAATGTTGTGCCATATGCATTAAATTCAATAGTTGGTGGTGTTTTTGGCCTCGCATCTGGGCACGAAGCCTGTCTAGTCAGGGTGGACTAGTCCTTGTAGGAGAGGGCATAGTCTGGCAGCAAAGATTTTTGTAAAAAGTTTGAGGTCCGTATTAATCAGTAAATAAGAGTAATTTAATCCTCTAGAGCAGAGTCTGGGAGCTTCAGGAAGGTAGTGAGTTAATTAAATGCGGTAACAAATGGTGTGGCGAGATGTTTGGAGAATGTTTTGTAATATTTGGCAGTAAAGCTATCTGGCCCGGGACTTTTTCCTAGTGGGGAGTATTTGACTGCTAGTAGAAATTCCGCTATCTGTACCGGCAAATCTAGGTGTTGTAATAGATTTTTGGGTATTGTCTGTTTGATACGTGGGGCTAGGTATTTTTCCAATTCTGGAATCATTGGAGAGGTCGTACGAATGTTATATAACTCAGTATAGAACTCTTGGAATGCCTTTAAAATGTCTGTGATTTTATGGGATATGTCCCCTGATTGTGTTTTTATCTTGGAGGTAAATGTGGTCTGTCTAGCATCTTTAAATGTGTTAACCAGGAGACGTCCACACTTGCCACCTTTGGAATAATAGGAATATTTAGAGAATAACATTTGGCGTTTTATTTGGGCATTCATGAGCTGTTGTAGTTCTAAAAAAGATTTATTTTTAGTCAGTTGTCTGTACGTTTCTAGGGTATTGCTCTGTTTATAAGTGTTTTCTAGAGATCTGATGTCAGTTAAAGTTAGTTTGCCTGTTCCGTACGTTGATGTTTGAGTTCGGAAGCTAAAACAATGAAATGTCCCCTTATCACACACTTATGGGCCTCCCACACCACTGTGGGTATCGTTGTGTGTGTGGTATTTTCGTCAAAGTATTGTATTGCTGAAATGCTAAATGTAGAGATTCAGATGCACGTGCATCATTTAATAACGAGGGAAGAGTGTGGGGCCTAGAATATTGGAATTAAGACCTCAGATCTAACCTCTGCATAAAAATGTATCATAGCATTGTGATTGATGGAAATTGTCTGCATTAGAAGCAGGTAATGGTAAACAAAGCTTGTATAAAACCTTTACATAAACATAACACCTAGATGCTGTTCATTTGTATTTTGTGTCATTTGGTCCTATATTGTGGTTTGCATTTATGTGATACATAGAAAGCTGCTGGGTATGGCTGTGCCTGATAATCTTAATCGGGTATCCCATCTCAGGCATGTGAGGTGTGGAATGTAAAATCTCAGGTATGAGGTAAGTATCATTGATTTAACTTAATCAGCATAATTCAGAACCTACATAACAGGCAATACTTTTAGTCTAAGTGCGGTATACTTCGTCAACACTAATCCTAGATTGAGTAGGCGTATGGGAAATACGATTATATTAGATGGATGGCAAAGCAATGAGACCCATAGTAGTGTGTATAAGATCGATGCTTTGGGGTCTGTGAACTAGGTGTCAGGATTATATTGATCCAGCACGCAGAATAGTATCACACCCTAGAACTAAGGGTAATGTCTTACCGGACCTTAAAACATGAATGGCTGGACTTAACGTACCTGAGAATAGTCAGAAAACTAGCCAAGGTCAGGGACACAGAATGATACACAGCGATAAGGAAAAGCCAAAAGTCAAGGGTACCAGAAATCAGGGAAGTCAAAACGAAGCCAAAGTTAAAAAACAGAAAAACACACTCTCGGTTAAACATCTGAGGGAAACAACAACAGGGCAATGAGCTAAGGGAATATGAGAGTTTAAATAACCCTTTTGCAGATCTGATTGGCTGTACCTAGCCCCTGAACTCAAAACGTGCGTGTTCGTCTTTTGCGTGACGTTATCCGCACGTCCACATCATCTTTACCGTGGATGGATGTCGGGCTATATAATTGCGTGGGTCCACAGCGGCCGGCATCCACCGACATGCCGCAAAAGCCAGGCATGATAGCAGAAGACCGCTGAGTGGCACTCCCCTCTATCTTCGGAAGGAAGTTATTTCCCTTTTTAGTCACGTGGAGAAGAAGATTACGTGACACTAGGCCATGTATAAACAAAAGACAATAAAAATAATCTATGTCTATGTATCATCAACATTTTTAGCACTTTTATCTTACGTGCTCCCAAGCTCAGTAGCCAGTTAGGGAAGTAGGTGTAATAGCTGAAGCAGAATAGGTAATAGTTTAGGTGAGCTGGCCCGCTTGATTTCCAGTAATGAAGCCTTTAAACTTAGTTCGTTGTGGGCTAAGTCACGAGATTGAAGGGGTAGTCCTGATCCGAGGAATTATAGCCTTGAGTCCGTGACTGAAGAGGACGTCTGTCCTTGTGGTGCGAACACCGTAAGTCATGCCAGATTCTCTACAGACAACAGTTATTGAAGCAAAACATAGTCCGGGTGAAGAAAGAATAGTAGAGTCACCGTTCAAGGATGATTGGTAGTGGGGTCCGCATTCAATGAGGGTCCGGAGCCTCAACAATGCCTGGATATGCTTTTAGGCGTGTTCGGGCCTGGTTATGCTTCGGAAGGGTCGTTCCTCCTCTTCTTGGACGGAGTCTGCCATTTCTGTCGTTGTTGAAGTGGCAAGGGAGTTGTAGCTTGGCTGGTACCATACCAGTCGGGA